CGGGCAGGGCGCCGACGACCCCTGGCGGCGGCCGCGCTCAGCGGAGTCGGGGGACGCTCCTGGCTGCGCATGCGCACGCTGGGACTTTGCAGACTGGCCTGAGTGTGTCCTGGGGCGAGCCCGGAGGCCTGCGCGTTGCGGGTGGCGGCAGCACTAGCAGCTTCCTGAGCTCACCCTCTGAATCCTCCGGCTACGTCACGTTGCACTCAGACTCGATGGGCTCGGCATCCTAGGGCCCGCCAGCACATCCCAACGGAAGCCAGGCAGGCCAGGCCGCCCGCGGGGGCCACAGCACCAAAGATGCCGCCCCTGTCCTGCGCTCAGACATTTGCTACCCCTCCCAGGGTGGGGGGTGACGGCCTCAAGGCCTCTGTCTTCCTGCTCCTCGTGTGAGTATTGCCTGCAGGGAGGAGAGGGAGTGTGTAATGGCTGTCCTGGAACACTGCCCTGGGTGTAGACCCGCCTCTGGCATCTCCAGGGCAGAATGAGGCTAGGTTTGGGTAGTGAGTGAGGCTCTGTGCATCCAACTGCGCCTTCCCCAGCCCTAGGTGCCGGGAACACAGGGACAGGGCCCCCATCAGACAGAACAAAGCCCCTCCTTGGAAGAGCAGGAGTTGGAAGCCACTGGACTGAACAGGACTTTCCACTCTGCACTTCAACTGCCATAGTCCAGGGGGTGGGGTTTAAGGGTCTCTAAGCACAGGGGTCTTCAGAGCCCAAACAAGCTCTCTGAATAGGTCTCCACTTCTGGCCTGTTCTGCCTCAGTTTCCCCATCTGTAATGAGCAGGTGACCATGTTAACTCTCAGGGCTGTTTGAAGAAGTCTCTTGGTCCATATGCCTTGGCCATTGAGTGGACCAGGCATGAGAAGTAGTCTAGGACCCTCCGTCGATCCTTGGTGGGATCAGTTTTCAGCATGTGGCCTGGTGTGGCCCCCCCAGGACTGAGACCTCCCACTCTCAGTGCCCTTGCCCCCTTGGGAACTCACACCACCCCAGCTAAGCACAATTTTGCACCATCACCACTAGCACTACAGCCACACTGACCATCATTAGTCTCCCCACCCTCATTACTCCACCGTGGTTGCCTGTCCTACCACATTGGCCACCTCATGCCCCTCACCATGAAGGCTGTAGATACGTGGTAGAGAGGACTAAAACTAAGGGGTGTGGGCCTTATCCCAGTGCCCCTCCCAGCCTCACCCCCTGCCTGTGCAGGTCTGCATAAGAAGTTATCGGTGAGGGTTCTGCCCTCCATCCCAGGGGAAGAGCTTGGCTTTGCTTTCTCTCCTGGGAAGTCCCTTTGCAGGCCCGGACTTTGTTGTAGGCCCTGAGTCTTCCCAGGCTAAGAATAGGGCTAGGAACAGCTGTGGCCTTGAGCTAGAGGGACAGGGCCAAAAGTGAAGTCCTGCAAGCAGTGGCCCCCCCACTGTGAAGACCTGGAGTGAGTTCCAAGGCCGGCACAGAGCTGACCTCCATCCTGTTCCTCTGTGCTTCAGCAGCCAAGCCCATAGTCTACCACTCCAGACAGGATCCAGCCCCAGAGGAGGCCACTGGGGAAGGTATGCCCACCTCTGTCTTGGCTTCGGAGGCCTCTCCAGTCCCTGGCTGTGAGGGTAACATGTGATGAACCTGGCCCCAGGTGAGCCAGGTAGAAGATTGCAGTCCAGTCCCATATGTGGGAGGGGCCACTTCTAGCCAAAGCTCCTGTGCCTTCAAGGACCAACTTGTCATGTGAGGGCAGAGGTCACCAGTTAGCCACTGTCCTCCCCACAGACTGGCCTATTTGTCACCTTGGGTTTTCACGCTGTGTATTTCATTTCCAATGGCAATACTTTCAGAGGGACATAGTGCCCTAAAATTGCTCCAGTTCTGGTTTTTACAAAAATAAAGGGAAGACCCCAAGGGGAAGACCCTCAAGCCTGAGGCTCTCTCCCATACTTTGTTCAGCCTCGAGGCCTATTTGCTGTGTTTATAAGGAGCTTGACCCTGGGCTTACTAGGGAGGAGCTGTCTACACCACCATCCAGCCCAGAGCCAGGGGTCCAGTTGTAGTTTTTTTGACAGCTGAGCATTTTTCTTCTGTACAGGACCCAATAAAAACTTCCTTATGATTTGCACGTGGCATTCTCAGGCTGGTTTCATGGAAACATGGTTCTGGAACCTAACAGCAGTGCTGGCCAGCTGCCCTCAAATATCTCTCCCTCTGGAACCCAAATTTCTCCACTAGTGCAACAGACCTTGCTACCATTCTCCAGCCAGTGCTGCAGTGCCACCTGCAAGATGGGACCTGAAGCAACAGGAGAAAGCAATGGGAGTGGGTGGACACCAAAGCCCACCAGTGGGAAGAAATGCTATTAGTGCAGGTGGCAATCCCAAGATTGGATAGGATCAGGGACTGCCAGTCCTTATGATTCAGGAGAGCAAGCAGAGCAGGCAGTTTGTGCCCTGCCTGGAGCACCTGGGATCTGTAGGGCCTAATATGCAATTACCATAGGCCCCACCTCTTCGCCAATCCCCGCTGGAATTCAGAGGCCGCACCTTTGAGTCTGCGGTACAACGCCGCCACCTGGTGGCCGGAGAGGAATTAGTCCTGGCCTCTTCTCAACCCAGCGTTACCGGAAACAGACCCAGAGCGGCCATCCCCCAACGTTCGAGCTGTCAACCCTGTCCTCGCCCTAGCTCCAAAGAGCCCTCTGGATGAGGTAGGGGAGCTCGGGCCGCTGAGGCACCGTGGGTCCTTTTCTCCGCCATCCGACCAAGATGGGTTTAGTGCACGAGCGGGACAGCCCCAAACGAGAAATGTTTTTGTAGGAAATTGGTATCTGTGCTTCAAAAAGATGCACCTAAGTTGGCATGGTGGGTGCAGTTAGGACCTTAGTGACTTCATACACACTTCACACGTTTGCACTGTCTTTATTCTGAAATACAACTGGTGGGAGGAGGTGTCAGTCTGTATGACACCCCCAGGCTGCCCTTCTCCAACCAGGACCCCAGGGATTCTGGCTTGGGAATCTTCCACATTTGTGGACCAGTAAACGGGTGCAGAGTGCTCTGAGGGCCGTTCAGGTCGAGGGTTCTGCAGCAGTCCTGTAGGTCCGGAGGGGCGGGCTCAAGGTCTGGGCCCGGAGTCTTCTCTGAGCCAAAGGCAGGCCCCTCCCGCGATCACGCCTGGACGCTCTTGCTATCCTCATGCTAACGCCACCAAGCAATGGGTCCCTCCCAGGAACAGCGGGGGTGGGGGCGGGGAAGTGAGTCGTGCGTTTTGGGGGCGGGAGCCAGAGCCCAGGGCCTTCTGCGGGGCGGGAATTCTAAGAGGGGCAGGCTGCGCCGCCTGGCCTCCTGCGGAGGGGGTGGGGATCCGTGGAAGCCTAGAAGGTCCCGGGTGGGGGTAGGTTGGGGCCCCTGGCCAGGGGGGCGGGCTCCTCGTGCCCCCGCCCACCTGCAACTTTCTCCCCGCCGCGCAGCGGCAGGGCGGGAATAGGGGCGGGTTGCCAGCCGGGGGCCCCTTGAAAGGGGCACAACCCAGGACACCCCCTCCCCGCTCCACTACAGGGTGGGAGGAGGAGAGAGCGGGTCCTGGTTGGGCTGGGATGGGGATGTATTACGCCCAAACGCTCAGACCTGGTCCACGCATGTCTCCGTGTATTTCCCGGCGTTCGCGGGTGTGCGGCTCCCACCGGGCCACTTCTGCCCCAGGACCAGAACAGGAGACTCGAGGGGGTGTGACAGTCATCACGAGCGCGTCCAAAATAGTCTCTGCGTCCCCGGGCCAGATGGGGGCCCCCTTGAGTCCGAGGTCGCACCCGGGCCTCACCAGGGCCGCCACACGCGCAGCTCTGGCCCTGGGCTCTCAGCACCGCGGCGCGATGCTGGCGGCAGCGCTGGGACGCTGGTGGACGAGCCTGGGAGATCTCCCGGGAAGAAAAGCCGGGGTGGCGGGGACCGCAGACCGCCTGCGGCAGGAGCAGGAGCCCAGACCGCCGGAGCGCAGGGGCCGCGCAGCGCTGGTGCCTCCAGGCCAGGGCTGGCGCTGTCCAAGGTGCTGCCACCCGTGCGTTCCGGCAGCAGGGGGCAGCGCAGGCCGCCGCCACCCTCCTCTCCACGCCGAAGGAGCTGGCTCACGCCAGGTAGGAAGCCGCGGAAGCCCGACGGGTACTCGGCTCCACTGGGTACCGGCCAGAGCCCTGAAAGCGGGGATGCAGAAGCAAGAAATGTGGAGGGAGATGGGAGAATAGAAGAGAGCGAGAGGAGAGGCGTAGAGGGGAAGGAAAAGTGAGCGAGTGTAGGAGGGGAGGGCCACCCGAACGTCACTCTGAGGTCCACACCTCCGCCCATCCGAATTACAACTCCACAGTCAGCCAGGCCCTTTTTGCCCCCCTCCTGTCCTCCTTCCTCACTCAGCTGCCCACGTGCCCCCAACTGCCCTCTCCACCTTTTCTTCCTTTATCTGACCTAGTCGAATCCATGGCCCCGATGCCCCACCCACAATTAGCTCCTAGTCCCACCCCTTTCACACCCTCCCCCTCTACCTTGCAACGAGTTCTGGAGGGTTTTCATGTACTTGACGCTCAACTCCAGGATATCGGCCTTTTCCAACTTGCGTTTCCGGATCTGCTCGAACCGAGGACAGGGTTCTTAGCTGGGCAGCCCGAAGTGAAGGGGAGAGGTGAGGGATGGCGTCACTTCTCCCACCCTTAACCCTATCTCACCTGGTGCGAATAGTGCTTCTCTAGCAGCGACTTGAGCTGCTCCAGCGACACGTTGATGCGCGCGCGTCGCTTCTTCTCCATCAGCGGCTTGGAGATCTGTGGACCTGCGGTCTTTAGAAGAGGGGACTGCAGCCCTCCTGCCCTCCGCCCCTGCCAGCCCTGGGAAGGGACCCGCCCCGCGCCCCACCAGACCTTGCGGAAGCTGACGGCTGTGTTAGCGGGGCTATCCCGGGCGGCGGGCTCTGAGCCCATGTTGCAGTTTGTGCTCCAGCGGGAGGCGGGGCGGCCTTTATAGGGGCCCCTCGTTTACATGTCAATAAGGCCCTCCGGACTTGAAAAACCCTAAGGGGGAGGAGACAGAGGAGGACTAACCAAGAATTCCCTACCTCCCTTCCTCTCTCCCTCCACCCTCTCCTATAGCCCGGGCTCCCTCTTAACCTTCATGACGCCTCCTGCTTCCCTAGGGACCCTTTACGCTCCCCCGCTTCTATCTCACTCTCACCATTTCCAACACCTGGGACCCTTCCCATGCTCACATCCATCATGCTGTGTCCTGTCCAAGTCCCTGCAGGTTCTGGGCCTCACCACCAGGCCCATTTGCTACATCCTCTCTGATCCTTGTCTCTGAGCACACTGGGGGCTGCCCACTGGTGGAGGTCCATGGGCCCAGCCAGCCACTGGCTGCCCTGGTGATTATGACAAAGCCCAGGGCCTCCTCAGGCCTGATGAAGATGCAGAGTCAGGAGTATTTGCCAGCAAGGCCTTTCTATGAGCTTCACGCTCTGGCCACGCCCGAGACGCTGCATTAGTCGCCCTAATGTCGGGACAATGCAGCGATTTTCTGCCTGTGGCCACTCAAAGCCAGGCGCAGGCCAGGCCTGCGGGGGCCACGCAACAACATGTGTCCCATTAAAGCATGCAGCCCGCCCGCGAGGCCACAGCTGGCCTCCTCCTTGCTGGGGCCTCAGGCCTGGGAGTGCTCCTGGCTTGGGTGCAGCCTGGGCCCTGGGCCCTCTGACACTGTTAAGACTCAACCCAGACTCTTCCAGTGGAAGGCAGGTGGGATGTGTCACCATTCCTTGGCTTTCAGGCTGGGCAAGACAGGAGGAGAACCCTTCCCCCAAGGAAGGACTAAAGTCTACACCCAGCATAGGCCTCTCCTTGGTCCCACACATGGGTGGTAGAGGAGGGGAAGATGGCGGATATTCTAGGGAGAGCTATGGTCTTCACTTTGGGAGGTCCAGGGTCTTGAGCCTTTTCCAGGATTTGACTGTGGCTCGACACCCAAAGAACCCAGTAGAGATGTCTGGGGTGCTTGGACCAGGATGGGCTAGACCCTACAGTAAGACCGTTTGACATCCCCCCAGCTGGTCCCCAAGAGACTGGGCTAGGTACTGTGACTAGCTGAAAGGCCTTAATGGAAGTCCTTGAGTTCAAACTAGATACGTCCTTTACTGGGCTCTACGATCTTAGTTTTGAGGTTTGTAAAATGGTGTTCTTGGGGCCAACAGGTGGTGTGGTGGCTAAGGTGACTGTAATTTGAGTCCTGGACCCAGGAGCTTGAAAATCACACCAGGTGCATGTGCGTGGGTGCCCAAAATCCCAAGAGGAGGATGGAGGAGAAGGGACTGAGGTGTGGCCATCCCCCCTGGAGCATGATTTCTCATTTTCCCTCTCCCTGTCTCTCTCCTCTACAGTGAGTGCAGGTGTTCTATGGCAAATAATAATAATAATAATCAGTAAATAAAATAAAATGGGGTTCTTTCTTTTTTTAGAGAGATTACTTGCCAGAGAGACAGATAGCAAGAAATCACCCCCAGAGGGTATAGACACACTGCAATCCCTTCTCCTCCATTCTTCTCTCAGGATTTGGTGCACACACACCCGGCGTGTTTTAAGCCACCAGTCTGGAACTCAAACCGCTGCTGTCTACATGCGAGTCCAGGGACATAACCATTACACTATCTGCTGGTCCCCAAATGGGGTTCTAAACAATGAGGCAGTCATGGCTACTTAGGAAGGCGACAGAGAAGGCAGGAAAGTTCTGTACTGAGAGTGCAGAACTGTGACAGAGGAATGAACAAATTGTCCTCTGCGGGACCTCAGCGCGCGGGGAAGGAGGGGGGAGGAAGGGAATTGCTGGGTTCCAAGTGGGCCCCCAAACTCTGTTGAGCTTGGGCATCTCCCCTCCCCCTCCCGTCAGGGCCCCCAACCGGGGTATTGAGAGGCCTAGACAGGCAGCCGAGTTCCCAGGCGCAAAGCAGCGTGGAGAATCGCGCTCCGCCTTCTCCCTTTCTGGCGGAGGTAGCGGCGGCTGCAGCTCTGGGGCGCGCTCTCTCTGGTCTCAGCGGAAGCGAACCAGATCCGGGCTGATCCTGGCCCAGGGATGACTGCGCTTCTGAGGCCAGGCTACCAGCGGTGGCACGCGCCGGGCAGCTTTGAAGCACCAGGGCCAGCGGGCCAGGGCTGCCTCGGTGCGTCTCGCTCCCGGCTTGGGGCTGTGGCGGCGCGGTACAAAGACACCGCGGGGCGGGCGGGCGGCGCGGTTGGGCACAAAGGGGGCAGCCGAGTGTTAAGGGCATTGTGCTGGCTCTACAAAGCAGCGCCCGCGCCCGCCTCCTCCGGGCCAAACTCCGGGCGCCCTGCCGCGCGCGGGCTTCCAGCTGCTGCACATCTGCACCAAGGCCAGGCGCGCGCCTTGCCCGGCGGTTTCCCCGCCACCCCCGCGCCGCAGCCCCACCCCGAGTTCTGGAGCCGCGTAGGCAGCGGGGCAATTTGTCCTCTAATTACAATCCCTCCCCATAAACCGCCGTATTCGCCTTTCAACTCTAATGTATTAGCAAACCAATGGCCCTCGGCGGCGCAGCTCTCGAGGCTAACAGCGGGGCGCCAGACCCGCCCCCTCTCCAGAGTTAGGGCCGCCATAAAGGGGCCCCTGGCCACCCCGATCCCACCCTGGCACCCGCTGCTCCCGAAGCCACTACCCCTCCCAAGCCTGTGCCCCGGAACCCGGCGGCGCTGGGTAGGGTTGCTCACGTGGGTGGCTTAGTGTTTCTTAAGCGGTGGAAAATTGACCGCAAAATGCGCTAATTTGCAATGTTCTGCTTTGGCTGCGGGAGGCAAGGTCCGCTGTGGCGGCCAGGGCGGTATTCTCAACCGTCATGCTCCGGGTCCACTGCATGGACCTCTGCCTCTGTCCCCATCCCCCAGCACCACCCCCACGCCTTCCCCAGCACCACCCGCTGCTCTCTGCTGTGGCTTATCCTCTAGCCCGGGTCTGCTCTCCTGGGCGGATCTCTCCCACTTTCTGGGCCTCACCCCTACCTTACAAGGCTCTCCAACCACAAACACCTCCCTGCGCCAGCTCTTCGCTTTAAATCTGTTGAGGGTGGCTCAAGATCTAGGCCCAAAGTGATCCCAGTGCAGTTTCTATCCTAACTTTTTGCAAGCTCTGAGACAGATTTCTCCCCACCAATGCCCTCTTTACTCCCAATTCCAGCAGCCACCCCACACACACAAAGTTGAAGTCAGATGTTTAAATCGGGCATATAAATCTCTCCCGAGATCCTTCTGGGAAACCTAGGCTGAGTACTTAGGTTCCATCCCATATCCTCATTCTGTTTGCAAGTCCTGAGTCTCAAAATCCTACGCACCCTCAGACACACCCTGCTCCAAAGGAATGCAGAGACCAGACCGGAAGGCTTTTTCAGAGGTGGTGGCAGGATGCGGGAGTGGGTATGTGGTCTTCTTTGAGAGCAAGCAGGACAAAGCACTCTCGGTGCCGAGAAGGGCATGGACCAACTTAGAAACGGGGCTTATGCAAGCTGGGATGTAGGCCACTGACTCCCTTTCTATCTTTAGCATCTGGGGTCCCCAAGGCTGCCTGGAAAAGAGTACAGGTCCAGGAGGAGTGCTGGGGCAACCCAGGCCCCCTTGTTCATTCACGGAAAACAAGTTCTTTCCATAATTCTTGAGGGCTCTCAGGGCCCTAGGATTGCTCTGGGTGTTCTCCTTTCTCACATTGAGAAATTTAAGGCACAAAGTAGCCTGTTCCTTTGCCTCCTCCCCTTCCCTCCTTTGTTTTTCTTGACTTTGGTAAAAGAAAGAACATTGTTTCAGGTCTGGAAGCAAGGTGGAAAGAGAGGGTTTGCAAGCCCCAGGACAAGAGCCTAAGAGACAGTAACAGACTTTCTCACTCTTCATCTCAGGTGACTGCTTGGGCAGCCACTGGCCAGGGGTGGGATGCCCTTCCATCCTGCACCTTCAACCAGTGAGTGCTAACTGCTGAGTGCTGTGCAGGCACTGTGGGTGCCAGTAACTGGAGAGAAAAATGTGTCCTCTCCTTTGGCAGATGCATTTCAAAGTTGAACGAAGTGATTGCTCCATGTAATTAACTATCGGGACACAACGAAAGCCCTGAAATGACTCCGCCAATTGTCTCCAGATGGGGTTGGAGAGGCTGCGATTGTTTAACTCTCTTTAGCTGTGTTGGAACTCCGAATAGCCCCTCAGCCAAGGACCCTTCAAGGAACAAAGGCTGGGACTCCAGTGAGTGCATCAATGCTGAGCCGGGCTGGCCTGGCTCGGGAAGAGTGAATTCTGAGAGACCCCCATTGTCCCAGCCTTTTGTGTTTCTCCCCAGCTGGCTCTAATCTTTAAATATTTACCCGGCCCCTTTGTGCACATATGACTTATGCACTTCGAGCTAATGTGCTCATAAATAACGCGTCATTTACCCATTTCCAAACTAGAGAGAGGAGGCTTTCATTCCTCCAGCCCAGAATGGCCAGAGGAGGGGAAAGAAAACGTTTGGAAGGTGAGGAGTCTCTCCTGGGGAGAGCTGCAGCCACATGGGCTCCTCCCTGCTTCTCTCTCAGCCTCTGTATAGACAGAGGACAGGGCAGAGACCTGTGCAGGACTAGCAGGTACGGGAGACCGTTTCTCCAAATATAACCCAGTTGAGGGACCAGCAGTTAGTGTAATGGCTATGTCGCTGGACTCCCACATAGTCGACCGCGGTTCACGTCCCGGACCTGGTGGCTTAAACTCACGCCGGGTGCTTGTGCGTGCATGCCCAAGATCCCAAGAGGAGAATGGAGGAGAAGGGATTGCGGCGTGGCCATCCCCTCTGGGGAGTGATTTCTCACTTTCTATCTCTCTGTCTCTCTCTGTCTGTCTGGCGAGCGCACGTGCCCTATAGCAAAAACCTCTCCAAAAAAAAAAAAAAAAAGAGCAAAAATAACCCAGTTGAGACCCATCAGCAAGGAAGAGGGAAAGGTGGAGTTGTAGTCTGATTCCTACTTGGTTTAAGCCTTGGACAACACTTAGGTGCAACCTTTTCATCCTGGAAGTCCATGCACGGTTTGAAGTGTCTCTCACTGCTGAGTGGTGAGAACAGAACCTTGCCCCATCCCAGCACCAGCCTCTAGCTTGCTCTGGACCATCCCTTCTTTTGACATTCTGTCTTGCTCAGTAAAGCAACTCTGTTTAAGAAATGAAATATCGAGGGACCAGCAGTTAGCTTAATGGCTACGTCGCTGGACTCCCATGTGGTCGACCGGGGTTCGAGACCTGGACTCTGTGGCTTAAACTCACGCCAGGTGCATGTGCATGCATGCCCAAGATCCCAAGATGATAATGGAAGAGAAGGGAAAAATCTCTCCAAAAAAAAAAAAAAAAAAGAAAGAAATGGACTATCGGACCAGCAGATGGCGTAATGGTTATGTCGCTGGACTCCCACATAGGGGACCCTGGTTCACTGGATCTGGGTGGCTTAAAACTCACACTGGGCACATGTGCATACATGCCCAAGATCCTGGGAGGAGAACGGAAGAGAAGGGGTTGCAGCGTGGTCACACACACACACCCAGGGGTGATTACTTGCTTTCTGTCTGTCTCTGTTCCACGAGCACAGTGCACATGCCCTATAGCACAAATATCTCTAAAAAAAAAAAAAAAGAAATTAAATAGTTCAGCCTGCAGTTTCACTTGAGAATGTCAAGGTAGTTCATTGGGCTCTCTAAATAAGAGGTACCCCCACTTGTGCTCAAGAAGGAAGACCACCTCAGTCCACGGGCTGATGGCAGGTGGGGGAGGGAGCAATTCCTGCATGAGAAAGGACTCCCTTTGTGCTTGCCCTGAAGCTCCTAGAACAAAACACATTCAAATGCTTATTTACTAGAAAAGGCAAGTAAGGGCATCCCAGGGCTGAGTAGTCTCCCCCCCTTTTTCTTATATTTTTTTTAAGTTTGTCATCCCCCGACTCTCGTTTGATCAAATGGCTTTCTTCTCTAGTGAGAAAGCAGGTCTGTCTGTGTGGGGGTCTGCATCTGTTTCTGTCTGTGATTGTGTGTTCCCCTGCACGTCTGTGTGTGCAGCTTTGTTTCTCTGGGTATTGCTTGTGTGTGCACAGATTTCCTCACTTCCTTTCTCCCCCGTCACTGCTCTGCCAACTCTGGGTCCTGCCAGATTCAGATTCGGCAGCAGCAGTGACTCCTAAAATTTCCCACATTCTAGGGAGTCTGCCCTACCTGGGAGGGGCTTGCCTTCTCTTTCCATCTCCTTTCCCAAGAGAGGGCTGAGTAGACGTAGAGTCTAACAGTAAGTGGTGCGCAGAGGCGAGTGTTGCTCAGGGTGGGTTCCGTGCTACCCTCTGCCCCGGAATGGCAACAGTCCCTGGGGATAAATCAAGGCACACCACAGTTCCAGAACGAATGCCAATGGCCAGAGCAGGAGCTTTCCTGGAAGGAGTGGTTTTTGGTCCCAGAACCAAACTCATTCCTGAGTGAAGGGACAGTGAGTGCCCTCTAGTGGCCCTGAGGTGTCCTAACGCAGGTCCCGAGTCTGGGGGGAGGCCAAGGGAAATCCAGGTTAGTGGCGGGAGCTCTTGGCTCTCAGTCTCTGGTAACAGCAATGCTCGGACCTTTTCCCCATGTGGCACTGCAACTGAACGACTTTGTTTTTTATTTTTCTTTTCTCTCTGTTGGATAACTTTGGTTTTTAAAACAGTCGATCTTTTTTTATTATTATTATTCTATTCCTATCAATGGAGTTTAGTAAGCATCTCCTAGCACCATTTAGACACGGTACTGGGCTTTATAGAACAAATATCAATACATGAAACAAGGATCACCACTTTACAGGAAATGGAGGCTCACAGGATTGATTTTCCCAAGGTCACGAAGATAGGTGCTGAGTGTCAGGCCAGGATCTCCAACTGGCTGCCCAGGCACCAGAGTCCCTGCTAGGACCTGCCAGGGGGCAGAGGAGAGAGGTGAGGTGAGGGGCTCAGACGCATGGCTCACAGCCTGCCTGGTGTCAGCACCCTCTCTAAGGGCCTGTCCCCTATCTGCCTCCCCCAGGCTTGCTTCCACTTGCCTCTGCCTTTCCAATGCGGTGCCCTCCCTCCCTCCCTCCCTTGCTCTCATTTCTAGCAGCAGGCGCTGGTTGTCCCTGAGGGCCCCAGAGCTGAGCAACTTGTTTCTTCTCTGCGGCTTCTCACCCTGTGGCTCACCCCTCCCAGGGCATCTCCCTGGGGCCCCTCTCTCTCCATCCCTTACTTGCTCCTGCCGCACTTCCACCCCTGCATAGTTTGGTCTAGTCATCTGCTTACTTGCCTTTCTCCTCTAGCATTGTTCTCCAGTGCCCTTAGAAGACAGCATTTACCCTTTAAAAGAGTAAAGAATAGGCCAGCTGATGGTGTGGTGGTTAAGGCAGCTGGATCCTGCATAGCATAGCTGACTGCTTAGTTCTAGTCCCAGACACAGTGGCTTGAAAAACACACCAGGCATGTGTGGTGTGCATACCCCAAAGGAGAATGGAGAAGGAATTGCAGAGTGGCCACTCCACCTGGGGAGTGATTTCTCACTCTCTCTCTGCCTTTCTCCAACAAGTGCATGGACCCCTCAGCAAACTGGAAAAAATAAAAAGGAAAGAACAATTTCTGGTTATAAAAGTAATAGTGCCAGGTTGGGTGGTTTGAGCTTTAATCCCAGCTACTAGGAAGACAGGAGGATAGTGAGTTTGAGGCCAATTGGGGCAACATAAGACCCTTTCTCTCTTAAGGAAAAACAGCAAAAGTAATATTCAGTGGTCTCGCCTTAACTGCTGGGAATTTGTTCCTGGACCCACTGTGGATACCAAAAATCCATGAATGCTTGAGTCCCTTATGTGAAAGGGCATAGTAGGCTCATTGTGAACAACATGGAAAAAACCAAAAACATACAAAGACAATAAAAATCTCCCAGAGCTCTACCACCTAAAGAATATGGCTGTTAAATCATCTTGGCTTATTTTTTGATGATCTAACCAGGCTCATATAAGTGCTTTGTCCCCCACCCCACCCCCGACTGAAGTCAAAATCACACTGTTAAGTTTTGTATTCTACCTTTTAAAGAAAGTAATACTATATACCCTAAGCGTTTCCACTACCATCCAACACTCCTCCTCGACAGGAATTTAAACTTAAATCTCATTGCGTTAGTGCCAAAGGACTGGGGTTTTAGGTTGTTTCCCACGACTGCCTCCAGAGTACGGCACAGACCGGTGCATAGAGGCGCTCAGGAATCCCATCAGGACTGAGCCTGGTCCATGGACCCGGTTCTCGCCTAGACGCCGAGGGGTGTCTGGCTTTAGGGGGACTAAGTGGTGCCAGTGAGAACGGGTTTGTTTCACATTTCAGATCGTTTCTTGGGACAGGAAGCTTCTAGAGTTTGGGTCCCACTTCTGGCAGACGACAAGGGCGACTTTTCTGGCCTCTAGCCCAGCCAGCGCTCATCCGGGTCAAGTAGCTCTCCAGGGACCGAGAGAGAGGGGGTGGGCGGAGCTGGGTTGGGCGGGGCGCTCCCGCCAAATTCGGGCCTTCGGCCCCGCGGGGAGGAGTTCTCGCGAGAGCTTGCAGGCGGCTCGCAGCTCCGGGCAGTTGCCCTTCCTCGGCTGGCGTCGGCGGCGCAGTGCGCAGGCTCAGCCAGCGGGTTTCCCTGGGCTACCGCC